ATTGGAAGACATGGGGATGCCCCCTGTTGAACACAGAGAAGAATTACACTTTAATTTGAGAAGTGGAAGCGTCTTTTGCTGGCCAAATGACATAAAATGAGCAACCCCCCCCCCAAAAAAAAGGCAGATATAAAATTGATTATGTTGACATTCTTTCTCAGTCATGAATTGACATTAATGTCAGTTTTGGAATGCAACAAAGTACTGTAGTTGATTTTTTTTAATGTACTGTATTTTTTACGTGACTTCATTCCTGTCAGCCTCCTCTTCTTCTCATTCCTTTGAAATATTTTTTACTTTCAGGACCAAAGTAAAATTTATATCCGAAAATTTGAATTGTTTTTATCCCAGTGTTGTTTTTAGGGGCTTCAGACAAGACTGATCATGGCCACATGATGGATTCCAATGTGGTTCGCCAACCTTCCTTGGAGCTACAAAATTAAAAAAACAAACAGTCCTTATCTGGCCTCGATTCCAATCTAATTTCTTTTTAGAGGACGTGACGACTTTCTCTTCTTTTAAGGATGAATTTGGCATGATATTCCGATGTCAAAAGCGCTGCAATCAAGAGAGGTGTTGGCTTTCTCGAGGCTGTTTGCAGACTTGCTCAACAGGATCAGCCCAGGGAGCTGCGCGGAGAGGCTCCAGATGTTCTGCGTACTGATTGGTCCCAGACACATTCCACTCGTCCCCTCGTGCCAAACTCGAACGAGAAAAAAAAAGCTCACATCTAGGTCGCCTTGTTAAACAGCAGGCAAGGCGCCTGCCTGCGCATCCAGGTCGGCGTGCTGTAGAGAATCAGCACGCCCGACGTAAACCAATCGGCATTCGTGTCAAAGTTCACGCCAGACGAGATCCGAGGGAAATAGCAGCTAAAACAAAATTCGACGCAGCAACAATTCAGCCACTCCTTCAGGTAAAAGCGGCAGCAGCAACTGCCTTCAAAAGCGCTTGGAAAAGCTCCCCGTGCCCGCTCAGTCAAGCCAGTGCAAGGGTGAAACGCGTGCCGATCATCCCAAATCTCTCACCGGTTGGTCCAACGACGAAACTTTTGCTCGGCGAGTCAACCGTCGCTTGACCGCGTCCAAGCGGACACTGAATTGGGTGTTTTGTAAGCAGAGTCCGGTGTGACGCTGCTCACTCACTTCTTGAGAAGGAGCGGACTATTTCCTGGATAAACTGCCCTTTAAAAAAAAAGTGTCGACTTACCCTCGCGCCGTCGTCCTGTGGCTTCGCTTCTTCCCAAAAAAAATGTAACAGCGGTGGAAAACCGGGGAAGTGTTTACATCCTGGTGTGCCCAAACAACTTGAAAAACATTCCCAGGGGGAAAAAAAGGGGAAGAAAAAACGGGTCCCGAGAAGCTCCAACTCAATCTGCTCCAAACCTCTGCGAAGTGTGTCCGGTGAATAGCCCGGCGAGGAGCGCTCGCGCGCGGCGTGCTCGGCTCGAAGGTCGCGCTCCCGTCAAGCCAAGCGAGCGATGACGATGATGATGATGAAGAAGCTTCCTTTTCTCTCTCCCCGGCCGTAGCGCCCCCGCGCGTCTGTCAAGTTACCTTCAACAGTAGTGAGCCGCAGCGAGCCCCGGAAGTTCTTTCATAATAAACGAACCACATAGTTGTTTTTTTTTTTTTTTCGGGTTGCACTTTGCGCCTTCTTTCTACTGGATCATGCGCAATTAGTGTCATTACATTCGTCAATAATTGTCATTACATTTGTCAATCAAAAAAGAAAAGGCATTTAATTGTATTCACAATGGTTTCTTTTCAGAAAGTTCATCTTTATTTTGCTATTTTCCAAATGTGTTGGACTTTTTTATAATTCCATTCCTTTTTTGAACGTTTTCACGGTCATTTTTTTATTATCCGGTCACAACTGCAAGAGCATGAATGTATTCTTGTTTTGTTTTTTTTTTAACTGCATTCTTAATTTTTGTCTTGTACTGTTATTTTGTTTTTACCTTCGATTGTGATCTTTTATGATCGAATAAAAGCATACATTTGCCATTATTACAATAATTATAAAAGTTTATTTACTACTTATTCTAAATGTTCATTGAAATTTAAGATGTGGTCATAAATGAAATTGTGCGCAGAAATGTATCATTGTTGTTTTTTTAAAAGTATTTTTCAATGTCATTGCCTTGTATTATTTGCCCGTGAATGTGATGGAGTCAATGTGTGCTAAGGCGACTGTAATTTATTTTGAAAATCAAACCAGGAAACTACACTCTGACTGTCGCACTCGGTAGCCACCCTGGACTCACATTTTGATTGTCAAACGAACATGTCAAGCACTGGAAAACTTGCAGAGCATCTGTGCTGCTTGAACTTGAACTCGGTTCATCATTTCGAGAGATAATCCTGATGCTTTTCCTCCCTCGCGTGCTGTGAGCGTTGAGGCGCAATTGTGGCCTGACTGCTGCTGTCAAAAGCCACTTCAATGTTGCTGCGGCCCCTGCTGCTAATTGGGGGCGTCCTGGAGAGGGAAGGGGGGCACACTCAAAAACAATGGAGGCTTTGTAGTTGGGGAATTAGTCAGAGGAGAAATCTTGTTTCTCAACTCCTGAATGTTGTGGGCAGGGACGGGAAGAAGACTCCGTTTAGATATCAACACATGAGTCCTCCCATGCGGGACTGGACAGACAAAGTTCAGGTCAGCAGTCGAGATATTGCCCTTAGCTAACCCAACGCGAACTCTAATCTGTTGAAAGTGCATTTGTGGTGTAAATGAGAGGCGAGGAAAGCTGCTGGCCCAGTGGGGAACTCCGTTACTCCGCTCTGCTTTTGTCTGAAAATGACTTCTCACACCTCATTAGAACACTGCCCAAAGCACAAGTAGGTGTGTGTTTGTGTCTGTGTGTGTGTGAGAGAAAGAGAGAGAGAGAGAGCAAAGTGTCGCTCATGAATGATTTATGAGCATGTAAATGAATGGAGTGGCAGCACACATACACGCGCACACGTACGCACTGCTCATTTTGAGTGTGTGGGGGGAAAATAATTCATCCTGGAAATGGGGTAAATGAAATGTAAATAATGGCCATAATATGAGGAATGAAACTGCATTTAAATTAAAGTTGTTTTGGCGTTAGCCTTAAGGCAACGAAGCACGCGGGTGTACATTGACATACTTGGCCAAGGAAGATGATTCTGATTCTGATGACTACAAATATTTTAAAAGAATTGGAAAACGTTGTTAATTCTGACTGATCTCACCCTCCCCCCCAAAAAAAATTGTTTCCAAGGAATGTGATCCAAAATTCCAAAATATGGATAGTTTCGATTGAAAAGCGACCAGGATCAAATGTTGATCGATAACGCTCTCTCGTGGTGAGAAGAAGACATGTTTAGCGCCTTCCCAAAAGGAGAGACTTGTCGCCGTCTAGTGGCTCAATGGTGAACCGCACGTGACCTCAGGCCTGCACTTCCTGTGCGAGGGCGATTGCTCGGCCAGACTTCAACTTTCTCACACTGCGTGTGTGTGTGTGCGTGCGTGTGCGTGTTTGTGTACGTGTATGGAAGCAGACGAAGAGCAGTTGGTGAGGGTTGAGTGGGAGTTTTTGTGACTCCTGAGGGAGACCATTAAACGTGTTTATGCACACACGCACACGTATACACACACACACACACGCGCGCGCACACACACTTGCTGGGGGGCAGTTGACAGAATTCTTAATCCCATGTGGATGTTTTCCGGCGTCTTTAGTCCCTTCCAAATGATGTTTCCATGGCGACAACATGAACGTGGCAATCTCCTGATGCTCATGGATTCAACCTGACAATAATACTGGAGTCAGTACTACACTTCTTACTGCAGTACTAAATATACAGTGATATGTACTTACTCTCTGCATTTAGACAGTAATAATTACTTTGAAAAGCGCGTTTGACTGTTCGGAGAAGTGGGATATAAAGGATTATGATTCATATCATAGTACAGTGGATTATGTAAAATTCGCTTTGACCGACATGTATTCTTTGGTTTTACAGCGCCCCCATGCCGGAGTGGCCTGTATAACACTCTTTGTGCCGTCGTGTGCGATATTTTGACATTGGTCCGGTAAAAATATGCAGTAGGAAAATGCTCGAATCAATAATCGATCTCAATCTTGAGGTATCGAATTGCGTGTCGGTCGTCATGCTTCCCACCCATTTTTTACATTGATATGGGATCGTTGTGGATTCTGCTTGTTCTATTTCCGGCGCAAACAAACGTCATCATCACCTAAAAGACATCGGAGCCCCCTCATTGGCAGCACCGCATCAATTTGGAGGCCCCAAACTCTGCGTCAGACGCCGGGTAAGTCTCCCGCGTGTCCCACCCGCGCTTCCAATGACGATAGTCCGAAAATTCACCTTACGACGTGCTTTGTCCCCAAAAGGCACTCAGGCAGCGCAAACTGCTCCCCTCCAAACTCCATCGACCAAATAATCAATATAAGACACTGTCGTCACTGCGGGGCAGTGCATTTTTTTCAATAGGCACCCAAATAACATATTTATGTCACGTGAAGATCTATCTGCTATCGGCATCACAAAAGACGGTTAAAACCGTGTTTATGTGCAAAGCAGGGATTGAATATAAGATGCTCTCCCTTGTGTTAAACGAACGGAAGTGAGGGCTGTTAACAAGCGGGACAATTTAAAATGTGAACGCGTTGCAGCTTTCCTCTCGTTGAACGTTCAGTTTCAGCATACCGAATACAACCTTTCATCCAACTCATACCACATTGGTTGTATTTTATGTGCGGTAGCCGTCTAATTATTTACAAACGTAAGCATCTTTAAATCGATATGTTTCGGAATGGAGCTGGACTGCGTCCAAACATGAAGCACGTCGTAAACTACAATAAAATTGCTTTGTTGTGTTTTTTTTTTTTCGTTTTGTTTCAGAATGTCAAATCATATTCGTATTCCTGGAATATTCATATGAAATATGATTTTCCAGACGGACCTATCAAGCTTGTTTGAGCTGCCAATCAAAGAGCGATCTTTTTAATTAAGAGTTAAGGACTTCAAGTCGCATTTGCATTTGTTAGAGACCAAGACAACTCCCCCAAAGTGGTTAAACTGCTTCAATTTTGGAAATTTGATCGGCGACAATTTGTTAAAATAGTGGGAGTTAAGCCCGCCTTAACCGGAAGCTGTAAATCAGATGCCTTCAAATTAAAGTTACGGTTGCAGCGTAACAGGGGTGACGTATTCGTGAGGGTACGGAGACATATTTCAGTGTTCCCGCTCACACGGACTAATGAAGTGAGTATTTTCGAACGAGGTGTGAGAGGTTTTAAGTATGATCTATTCACAGTTTCCAAAGTATGTGGAGAGCATTTTATTATTGCGTGTGTGTGTGTGTGTGTGTGTGTGTGTGTGTGTGTGTGTGTGTGTGTGTGTGTGTGTGAGAGGTACTCCCGACTCATGTAACCTGCAGCCTCTCATTTGTGTCGTACATGTCAGTTTTTAGTCCCGTTGGTCTGTTTCGATTGATTTTTAAAGGATTTTTGTTTCAGACAAAGAATAACTTTTATTTTGAAGGCAGCCGGGGTACTCTATGTGCATTTCATTTGACGAATGCGGGTCGTCAGAATGCGGAGCAGCTGATCCTGGCGCAAGTCTAAAAATAATCAACTTTTCCCTCCCCGCTGAGCTCGCACCACATCTTTTTCGCCTTTTTTATCGACCATATTTTTCATTTTTTTCCCCCCCCTTGGTAGGAATGAAAATGTGTCCGTGAGGATTGTGGGATTTCACTCATCTTGTTGAGGTAAATGTTGGACTTTTAATTTCCACTTTTGTCACTGGAAAAAAGTGAAGACTCCACTCATAAATTGCGTGTGTACGTGCGTTAGTGTGACTTTTACCCGAAACTATGACGTCATTGTAGGCACGCCGTCATGGCTGGCCAATTAAAATCTGTGTACTATGTTTGGCACATTTGAAGTGCACGGAGATATTTGAGTCATGTATGGAGGAGGGTGTCAAGTGTCTTTAACGTTCACTGCTTCACAGAAAGTCAACACTCGACAAAGCCTAAACGAGTCAGGCCACCAGTGTAAACTCGCAGCCATATTTTTGGGGGGGACTCGTCAGCTTCACATTTCTCGCAGCTTCTTCTCGTCTCGTACATGTTGAAGGGTCTTCTTGGCTCTGGTCTAGCAAATGTCGACTGGTCTCGTACACAAGTAACGGTCTTGTTGTCAGGCGGAGGTCAAGCGGCGTGGCCATGGCCTTGTCATTTTGCGGCAATGACGTGAACAAGAGCGGCTACAGCGTGGACGACGGCATGCTGAACAACGGCTGCTTTGTGGACGCCCTCAACCTGGTGCCTCACGTCTTCCTGCTCTTCATCACCTTCCCCATCTTGTTTATCGGTGAGAACACTTTGCAGTTCCAAATTCACTGTCAAACAAAACCTAAAACGAAGCAAATGATGCTTTGCACATTGCCAGAAATCACGCAACTTTGCCTTCTGCTTGCTTAATGCGCAGACACAACGTAAAACGTCACGGAGAAGCTCATCCATAGCATCGATAGTCACTTAAAGCGATGGACATTTGAAGACAAAGGGTGGATCAATACGTGTAGCCGACAATAGAACATTGTAGCGTGAGGTCAGCGCACCCAAAAAGACTGATCGCCATGGTGACAATCTGACTTGACTCCGCTTCACTGCTCATCAATACATCGGGGTGCCTCAATGTTATTTGTGACTAAAATAGCAACAGTGCTCTCTGGCATATTTTCTTCATCCTCTGCGAAGAACAATGAACAATATCGCAGTTGACTGAGTCATGTACAGTCTTCATTTGTGTCCTCCAGACTGTATAATACTGCCCTCTGGTGGCCAGGTTGGGCTCACCAGAAGGACTCATAGTGGCTTCTGTCCCACAAGACTCTCGCCTGATTCCGTGTCGTTGATGAAAAAATAAAAAACTGTGCGTGTGTGTGTGTGTGTGTGTGCGTGTGTGTGTGTGTTTGTGCGCGTGTGTGTGTGCCAGGATGGGGCAGTCAGAGCTCCAAGGTGCAAATCCATCACAACACATGGCTGCACTTCCCAGGACACAACCTGAGGTGGATCCTCACCTTCTCGCTACTCTTTGTTCACGTCTGCGAGTTTGCCGAGGGCGTGGTGTCCAACAAGTGAGCAGCATCCACCGGGAGGCATCCTTTCGTGGGGGGCAGCGGAAAATGATACCGTGTTGTGTTGGCGCCTCACTGTAGAATGATGGACACCAACCACCTGCACCTCTTCATGCCAGCCTTCATGGGATTCGTGGCGGCCACCACGTCGGTGGTCTACTACCACAACATCGAGACCTCCAACTTCCCCAAACTTCTCCTCGGTGAGCTCCACATTAAATTGGAATAGACGGTTTACCCTGCGCTCGAATAAAGCAATAAATAGACCTGGACTCAAGTCATGATTCTGTTCAAATGGATTGCACACATTGAATCCAAATGATCATCTTAAATAAGTTTAGAAAATTTGCTGCTGGGTCCAAAGCGCGCTCCAATTTTTGCTTGGATTGTCCACAGTGCTCTTCATCTACTGGGTGCTGGCCTTCATCACCAAGTCCATCAAGCTGTGGAAGTTCGCCATGTACAAGGTGGACATGCGCCATCTGAGATTCTGCATCACGGCGCTGCTGGTGCTGCTCTACGGTCTGCTCATGGCCGTCGAGATCAACGTGATCAGGATCAGGGTGCGTGTCGCCCACCCTGAACATTGATTACGTTGATAGATTTGGGAATGGGGTTTAGTTTGTCTGCAGCCAACCGACCTTGTCGGAGGTTCAGCTGAAGGACGCCTGATTTTCATTTCTTTATTTTTTTTAAATCCGGTGGTCCTTCATATGAGTTGTTTTTTTTTTCTCCACTCGTCCTGGCAGAAGTACGTCTTCTTTGCCAAACCTCAGAAGGTGAAGCCCCCCGAAGACTTGCAGGATCTCGGGGTCCGCTTCCTGCAGCCCTTCGTCAACTTGCTCTCAAAGGTAAGAGGACGCCGATACCCCATTTCGGTCGAAGGTCGAGCTCGGCCTTGTTCCTCTGTGGCCAGGCGACGTATTGGTGGATGAACCCCCTGATTATCGGGGCACACAAGAGGCCCATCGAGCTGAAGAAGATCGGCAAGCTGCCCATCGCCATGCGGGCGCTCACCAACTACTTGCGACTCAAAGACGCCTACGAGGACCAGAGGGTTAGTCCAGATACGTACTTGTGAAAAAAAATAAAGTCGCGTCATGCGAATTATCATCACAAAAAAAGGAGCATCTATGCTAATATTGGTTAGCCGGTCTCTGGCATTTTGAATGATGAGTTAGCATGAAGCTAGCAGACCGTCAGCGGTCGGCTCCTTTTTTTCCGCGGCAGACGGCCGAGAACCCGGAGCGGGCGCCGTCCATCTGGCGCTCCATGTATCGGGCGTTCGGGCGACCCATCCTGCTGAGCAGCACATTCCGCTACCTGGCCGACCTGCTGGGCTTCGCCGGGCCGCTCTGCATCTCGGGCATCGTCAAGAACCTGACGCTCGAGGAAAGCGGACGCTCCGCTCCCAACAAGACAGGGGTGAGTCCGTCCGAATACAGCCGAACCAAATTGAATTGTTCCACTCGAACACGGAATGCTCTTGAATCCTATCATGGCCCAAGGATGAAGAAAAGTATCAAATTGTCTTTCATTGCAAAGCTCCACACCCCGAGTAGAAACGCGAGCAAACCACTTAGCATGTTTACACAAGTTGATTTTATTAGCGCGAAATTAGTGTGAACGGCGCAAGATGGGCCGCTGGGTGGTCCCACCGACCAATCAATGACTCACTGGGTGTGAGCACAAGACTCTGGGAAAATATTTGACCCTTGCTTGCATTGGGAGCCCGCGCACTCGTGGTTAGCATGTCGGCCTGGCGGTTCTGAGGTTCACCTTTGCAACCGAGTTCTGGACTTCCTGTATGGAATTAGTTTTTTTGTCTCTCCGTGGCCTGAGAGTGACTGGCGACCAGTCCATTGTTTGTCCACATAAGTCCTACCCTTGACTGGCGACCCAAATGACAGAACCAACGGCGCTCAGGCAGTGACTCTGCTGAAGGTCACCGTGTTGACGAGGACCCGCCGGGCGGTCGTCGCTTGTTGTCACAGCTGAATGGCTGATATCCAAGAGCCAGCGCGCCACCGGCGGCAAAATCGTGCGAAGCGAGTGGGAATGACGCGGGAAATTCCTGGCACTGACTTGAGAGAATGAGAAACACCTGAAGAAGAAGAAAAAGACTTCCTCGAAGAATTCAACTCGCGATATATATGCCGCGTGTCGTTGCAGGACACTTACTTTGACGTCCACTTCATGCCGTCGAGCGAGCTGCTCCAGAACACGTCGGTTCTTGCCGTCCTGCTCTTTCTGGCGCTGGTGCTGCAGAGGACCTTCCTGCAGGCGTCCTACTACGTCACCATAGAAACTGGCATCAACCTACGCGGAGCCCTGCTGGTGAGGCGCACGGGCGCCGGCATGTGCGTCAGCGCTACGTGCCGTGGTTTGCGGGGTGCCGCTCAGCTCACAACTCGGTCCCCGTTGGAATGTTTTCTTCTTCTTCCTCCCAGGCGATGATTTACAATAAGATCCTGCGTCTGTCCACGTCGAACATGTCCATGGGCGAGATGACGCTGGGGCAGATCAACAACCTGGTGGCCATCGAGACCAATCAGCTCATGTGGTTTCTCTTCCTATGTCCCAACCTGTGGGCCATGCCCGTGCAGGTATCATCACCAACGGTTAAAAAATAAAAATGAAGCAGAAAAATCTGACCTACTTTAAGAGCGAGCTATGACCAGATTGTCATGCCCGATGGCAACCGAAACTTGAACCTTGTGTTGGTGGTCTCCCCAGATCGTGATGGGAGTCATCCTCCTCTACTGTCTGCTGGGCTGGAGTGCCGTCGTCGGGGCGTCTGTCATTGTTCTCCTGGCCCCGGTTCAGTACCTCATTGCCACCAAACTGGCAGACATGCAGAAGAGCACCCTGGTGAGCGTCACGGCGTTTTTCCCAAGGTTGAAGGTGGGAGGGACCGCCAAGCGATAATCCCCGGGTCACGCGTCTCGCAGGAGCACTCCACCGATCGCCTGAAGAAGACCTCGGAGATCTTGAAGGGCATCAAGCTGCTGAAGCTGTACGCTTGGGAGAATATCTTCTGCGACAGCGTGGAGGAGACGCGGGGCAAAGAGTTGACCAGCCTCAAGACCTTCGCCTTCTACACATCCATGTCTAGTGAGAAGACGGTCATAAACAAATGAGGCCGCTGTTGTTGTCGGAATGCCCCGCGTGATCATCTCTTCTGTGCTTGTGCAGTCTTCATGAATGCCGCCATTCCGATCGCTGCTGTCCTGGCGGTAAGCTCGTCTGGGCTACCCGGAAAATTATTTGCAACAAATTCTAATGCGGTACCGTAACGATTGTGATGTTTGGTTGGTGTTCGGATCACGAGGGTGTCATTGTAACAATTACAATGTGACGTCAAAATAACGCAGGATTTGATTCAAAAAAGAAAAAGTCCAGTATACCAGATCTGGTGTACTCAAGGCCTGTTCCGCCTCCTTGCAGACTTTTGTCATGCATTACTTCATCACCAAAAGCGGTCCGAGTCCCGCGGAGGCCTTCGCCACGCTGGCGCTCTTCAACATCCTGGTCACGCCACTCTTCCTGCTCTCCACCGTCGTCAGGTTCGCCGTCAAGGCGCTCATAAGGTGAAGCCATTTTGTGGCTGCCGTGACTTGTCGTTGCCACAGGGTACATTACAGTGCTGTGAAAAAGTGTTGCAGATTGTTTTGTTTTTTTTTCCTCATCGGGGTTTGGCACACTTCGGAAACTGTCTGCGCAGTTTCCCGAAGAAAGTCGAGTTTGCGGCCAGTCACATCTGGTGGAAACATTTGATAAGATGATACCAACAGTCAAACCTAGTGGTGGCAGTGCGATGGTCTGTCGATGCTTTTCTTCTTCAGGGCCTGGACGACTCGCTACGATTAACAGAACGATGGGGGAAAAGGCCAAAATCAGGAAGAAGGTGAATGCGTTTTCACTGCGCTGCGTGTTTTCGATGTTTGCTCCAGTGTCCAGAAGCTTGGTGAATTCCTCCAGAGCGACGAGATCGGAGACGACAGCTGGAGGAACGGAGAGATGTCCGTTCCCTCCGAGGCAGCCAAGAAGCACCCCGGAGCGGTGAGTGCTCCCACCTTGCATCAACATCTCCCTGATTTGTCCTGATAAACTGCTGCCGCGTGAGGCTAACGTGCCGTCTTCTGCGCGCCGAAGACCAAAGCCATCAACCGGAAGCAGCCTCGACGTTACCAGATGGACAACTACGAGCAGCCGTCCAGGCGGCAGATGAGACCCAGTGAGACGGAGGATGTGGCCGTCAAGGTGAGAAAAAGGTCGTCTTGCATACGAGAATATGGGCCGTAAAAACGTCTATCGAGAACGTGCATCATATGTCTCCATCGAGAACATTCTGGAAATGTGGAGGTGCCCGTTATGTTCTTCGGGTTTGACGCGCTGAAGACGTCCAGCTCGGCTCAGCTCCTCAGCAGCTGTTTGTTATCGCAGCGAGCGAGCGCGTGACTTCTCAGGAAGTGGGGAGGATTCACACGAGAACGCCTTGCCCCGAGCGCGGCCTCGCTTAAGGCGACTCTTCCTGTCGCATCCC